ATGACCGGTTTGGGTTGGTCACCGATACCGAGAACTTGGACATCCTGCAGAAAAAATACCTCAATGAAACAGAACAGGTGCATGGGTTCACCCACTTTTGGTTGGTTTCAAAGGCAAAAGCGAACCTAGCATTTTTGAGCTCCCCCATAAAACTACGGAGACAACCCATATCTTGCAAAACATGCTCGAAAAAGAAGCACCCTGCTCTTGCAGCTCTCAGTTCTGCCAGTACCTGATCCTGCCGCTTTTTTGGCCCCTGGACACTTTTGGGTCGTACACCTTCGCGGGGTTGGAAGTTTGCCGGCCCCTCTAAAAACAACGGCTCACCTGGCCACCCGACCCGCAAGGGCAGCCATACACGCAACCGCCAGCCGAGCCACGGCCTTTCCGTCCGAATTCGGGTGGAAACCTCAGAGCCACTGGCTATCAAAATAGAAGCTGGATAGCTGCTGTGGAGATCCATAAACGCCCCGTTCAGCACCCTGGTTGGGAGGTGCGCCCAAACAAATCGGGCCACTTACGCACCCAGATCTTGGGTCACTCGCACCCCCACGTCTGTCACGAAACGAGCGCCCGCTCAGCTGGGCGCCCGCAAGTGAACCCAGGCCACCCGGTCAGCTTTACATGCTCCGCGCCCAGACACCCGCTTTGCCTGCCACAGTGGGGATGGGAGGGTGGGGTGGGACCGCTTCAGCACTGCGCACACGCCTGCCAAATGGACCGCCCGCTCAGCACTGTGCATACGTTTGCCAAATGGTCAGCAAAACCCGCTCAAGCGCACCCCGCTCAGAACATCAGACTTCGGGGATCAAAAGGTCTAACCACTTCTGAGATAGTGGTCAGCACACCCGCTCACGCGCGCCCGCCCAGCACGTGCCAACTGGTCAGCAAGCGCCCGCTGACGCACGATCTCCGCAGGGGGTTCACAGAAGCCAAGACAAAGTCCAGAGGCAGGCCATGAGCCGGGTGCACAAGCGACACAAAACTCAGGCGCACAAGCGACCCCTTTTGCGGGCGCGCGAGCGACCACGATGCCACCCTGGTTGCTGATTCGGTCCAGTGCAAATTCCAAGAAACGATGGTTCATGATTTCAAAGTGATCCAGTAATTTGTCCATCCATAGGTCTAAATCGGCAGTGCGTGTTTGTGTTGTTGCAATTTCTGCTTTCACCTTTGTACCCACCAGAATGAATCGCGGCATAAGCAACCCCCCATCCCCCCTGCCTGGCAGGAAACTGGGGACCCATAATTCCAAGAGGGTGTGCCAACACCATGGGGGAGACTCCACGTTCGGATGTCGAACCAAAAGATACACTCCATGCACCTCTGAACCTGGCCATCCCAGGAGGAAGCCACATTGGTGGTTCCGCATGCATTTCTTTGTTGCAATGGGAAGCTGATTTTCTGCTTTGGCCAAGGCTATCTGAACAGCTCAAATTTTGCCCAGTGGACTCTGACACTCCAGAGTCAAACGTGACTTCGCGCCGATTCGCGCTGATTGGCACCGATTCGGGGCGGGGTGAGGTGGGGCCATCTGGACCGCCAAACAAGTAAACCAGTCTGAGTGGATTGTTGGCGATCCTTACCGAAACGACATGAAGTCCACACAATTTGGAAATGATGTCCAAACGCAGCGAGCTCTACAAGCACAATGGGGATGTCTTGCCCAAGTTGTGGACGAGGGGCCTTTTGACCATCCACTAAAATGGCCCAAGCTGGAAAGGGACCGAGCAAATCCGAGGAACATTCTCGGGGGGCCCCAAGGCTCAGAGGAACGGATTGATGTGGACGAGTCCGAAGTGGGAACCTCACTTCTGGACAAGCCCAAGGAGGAAACGAACATCAAGAATTGTCAAGAGGCGCTTCCCATCTAAGAATCGCCTCATCACGATTTTCGGCAACTAGGATCTTCCGAGGGACAAAAGGCTATGTGGACTGTGGCATGCGCCCAAGGATCATCTATGGCCGTTCGAGTCTCCCAGCGGGGGGTTGTTGCCCTCGACCCAACGGTGTGGAATTCAACCTACCCAGGCCCCGAATCAAGCGGTCGAACCAAGACTTAGTTCATAGAATGTCTGGATACTCTAGATCTTCGACAGGGCAGCAACGTACAACACACATAAAAAAGTGATAAATATTCTTCATAGCTCCTACGGTACTGACATGGAATTAGGCGATTAAGCTTTGTACTGTGGCATGTATCCGCCTTGTCATTCTCCACAAGCTGTAGATGCCAACGAATGTACGTTGACTATAGCTCACATGTGTTGCAAGTTTGGCAGCCGCGCAAACGAGGTTTCTCTTGCTTAGATAGTCAATCTTCGGAGTAAGTAGGCCTCACGCACTTATTTTTGTGAACAAACCAACGTGTCCTCTCACAACTCCCGTGAAAGCACCCAAAACGGTGCTACCCTTAAAGCAACCACCCAGATGGAACCCCCCCAAATCCCTCCTCTCCCCGCACGGCGCAGGGCGCGCAGTGAGACGTGGCTGGCTTCCGGCTTCAGGCCAGTGCTATCCGCCCAAAGGGGCTGGAGCTTTGGAATCCCACGCCAGAAAAGAACAGCTCAATGAAGCTTGGCTTCTTTAGGCGTGTTACGTGCCTTCGTCTTTTTCCAATTTACCGCTTGAGTCCTGAGTCTTGTCCTCTGCTCTTGATGGTGGTCGATATTTGCTCATCTCGAGTGTTTTTGCTGTCTACTGCTTCTTTGATGTCGTGTTGATCTTGGAAGGATGGGTTGAGCTGTGCTACAAGAGCAGGTTCAGCTGGGCAAAAATCAAGGTGAGTTCACCTTGTTTTGCGATTTTCTCCTTAGAAATTTTACCCCTGCAATTGCGCAACCAACCTTGCAGCATCCTGCTCCATTCTAGGCCATTAAGCCGTCTCCGTCTCTCCGCTTGTGGCGGAAACATGCATCTCCCGTGGGCCGAAACAAGTCGGCCCATGGCCGACGCGGGCGTCGCGTCTTGATCGCCTCGGCGAAACGAGTGGCGAATCGAAGCTGCGACCCCAAGCTCGGGGAATCCGTTTCAGGAAAACGCCAGGACTGGCAACACCCATTTTGCCATGGCTGTGTCATTCGGGTCAACCCTACTCGGCATGTAGCTGACCGGCAGCATAAACAATGCAAGTGTTTGTGTGTATTTTGGTAGAGAACAAGGGATCCCTCATGCAGCGGGCGTTGAAAGGGTCTTTCTTTTGTTCGGGGGGCCCAATTTTGACACTAAGAATCTTTTCGATTGAGCGTGCAAGGTCGATGTTGCTCTACCTTGCCGAAAGGAAACTTGCTTTGGCCCAAAAAGTGGTTGAAACCACTTGATAAATTTTCGGAACATCCAACCTGGGTCCCATGTAGTGCAAAAAACACAGGTACCCCAAAAAGGGGGGATGTCTTCCGTCTTCCTTCGGGCCGCTTCCCTTGAAAAACCCAGAAGCGAGCACGCTTAGCCAGACACATCCGGGTTGCCGGGCAGGTCACACCGCCGGCGCGCCACCTGGCTCTGATCCATACGTGGGTCGGATCGTACGATGGTTTATTGGGCTGCCGTGGTTGCGAAAATGTCGCACCGTTCAGAAACCCCGAGAATGCTCCAAGAAGGCCAAGGGAATGATGCTCGATTCCCCAACGTTACCAACAAACGGAATGGTTTCAACCATGGTTTCAAAGTGATGCGAAATGGATTTCGTCCATCCACAGTGTGTTCCTAATTTGGAGGTACAGGGTAGACATTGTATCCACCATTATCCAGTTCTTTTATGACTTCATCACCGTCAAGCACAGGAAAACATATATTGATTGGGACTGTTCATCACATCTCTTCCAGAACTTCATGTCTTACAAATCTTGACTTTTGACAACAATTCTCAATATGCTTACGTTCAAAATGAATTACTCTATCTTTCTTGATTGCAGGAGTCATGTTTGTGTTCACGCTGCCTATCTTATTTGGTACAGCTTACTGTTGGGTGGTCTTCACTCCAAAACACCATTCTTTGAGCCAATATTTGGAAGAGCTCCTACATTCAATCAACAACAACCGTGCTGGGTTTTAGGGCATCCAGAAGTTTACATCTGCATAATTCCTGCAACTGGGATCAGTTCCAAGAAAGTCTCACATTTTGAGCTTGACACTGGCGCCCGAAGCCCAAGCAAATTCAAACAGTCCCTGATCTTGGAAACACCCCCCAAATGATTCACCATCCAAAGGAAACCAAGAGCTCAGCCTCCCCTCTTTGGATCCAAACCAATAGGAAGCAGTCAGAGAAACCTCTCATGTCAGGTCTGTGGGCTAAGCGCGCCGGGGCATTTTGGAGGGCAGACTTGGGTTTCAAACACAATATATGAAGCAGCTTTCTGTTGGGTGGTGCCTGAAAGAACACCCACAGGTAGATAATTTTGGGGTCACACAATCCGAGACACTCATATGACAATCCCAACAGGATACTGCCTTGGCAAAAGAAGGGGATCCCCTGAAAGCATAGAAGCTCTACAGGGAGCCCTGGACTTCCCCAAAGGGGAGATCTTACTGCCAGTGCCCTTTGTTTTTCTTTCGGAGGTCAGGCCAAGCCGAAGTCAGTCAGGAACACGCATGGGTCCCGAGTTTCGAAGGTCAGAGACTGAAAGGAAACTCACAAATCAGCAGTCAGCCAGGCTGGTGTTGGTTGAAATGGGTGTTTCCCATAGTTTGAGGAAGTGTCCTTTTGATGTTCCTTGTAAACCCGCCAAAGATGGTCTCCTCTTTCTAGGACACCCACATCGACTCGAAAAAGAGGGAAACCTTGGACACCCCCGATAGGTTTGTGTGCGTCTGCCACTGTCCCAGCTCGGTGGTCCGTTCAAATGGGCGGTCAATCCAACATTCAGCAGGTGTCCCAGTAACACGTGTGAGGTCGCTACGTTTTGCCGGTGCGGGTAGAATGGTGAGTACCCAATGCCATTCCCTTGTTCGTGGACGGTGCAAATTATCCGCAGCTCAAACGGGTGCCTCTTTGTCAACGATCAAGGCTCCCAGGACAGGCCTTTGATGGAGATGTTGGGGTTGTTCTTGGCCAGGATTTCTCGTCCTTTGCCTTTATGGTCGAAGTCACAGTCATGATCCTGGCCACAGGCCGCAGGCCAAAGGACATGCCTGGAAAGATTCAGCCACCAGCCTCCGGGAATAGATGGCGGTAGATGATTCACCCACCAGCCTTCTGTTTTTTTAAGCAACCAAAAAGGGCACCCATGCATCGGACCCATACAGCCAATCATGTCACCTCTTTGAGTCTTTCCGAAAGCAGTGTCGTTCGCCTCGCACAACCAGCCACAGCGGCCCAGTCGTCAAATGAGGCATAGGTTTCACCGTCTGGATTGGTCACAATGCTGCCCTGATGAGTGAACCTCTGCTTACTTGCTTACTTGGACAGGCTACAAAAGCATCGGGGGGGATGCATCCGGCAGCCTCAAAGAGGCTCGCTCTGGCTGATTGGAGAACCCCCAAAGAACTGGCTTCCCCTTTGAGCCCCACAGGACGGGCCCAACTCATTTTGACAAGCAGAGGCAGGTTCGCCCCAGTGGCAACCTTTCCCGATCTCCAGACGCCGACATTTCCGGAACGCCCTGTCAAGCAATTGTCCAGGTGCTCGCTTATCTGTTGCAACCAGTTCAAACTCGCCAAAATCCATACAAACCAAACTGATGCACGCTTCTACAAACGCATGCAAACCCGTGCAAACTCATCCAACTTCTTCCCAACTTCCAACTTCGTCCCAACTTCGTTTGAACTCACCGTCCTCCGCGTGCCGATGCTTTCCACAAAAGGTGTAGCCGCAGCGGCACTCGAAGCCGGTCAGCCCGCACCTAGGTCTCTTTCGGCAAGGCACTGCTTCATTTTCTGTGAGAAGGGGCACTTGTGACGAACCTTTACAGGGGTCACTGGATGTCCCCTTTAAAAAGTTGCAATTTACCCGTGCTCCATTGAAACTGCAATGAACATTTGGAGGTTCCAAAGAGGGAAACGGGAAAAAACCCTGCCCCAAAAACGGGAGCATTGCCTTCTTGGCTTCTTGTTTCCTGTTTTGGGGGGGGGAACTGGGTGCAACGGAGCCGCGCATTTTTTGGGGTGCCGCGCTAGACCCGTAAGCTCAGAGGCAAATGTCGACTTGCCAGGGGGGTTGCACGGCAAGTTGCCAGGCAACAGGGGCTAAAAATGAAGTGTCCTTTTGGAAAACGCAACTGAACCATGTTGATTTGTCAAGAATTGTGGGTGCCTTCAGGCAAATCTCGAGATGTTGGCAGATCTGCTTTGCCCCCAGAATCAATCTAGTTCCGACCATAGGTGTTGTCCTCTTGAAAACTTAGATGGCGCTGGTAAATGGGGCATAAAACTAATCTAAACCAGTGCCATCTATGTCTAGTCAAACTAAGCTAAGATGGACACCACGGAACCAGGTCCAACCGAATTGGCATACAAAAAAAAAAACAATCAACGATGTGATCTTATCTGAGAGCCAGGCCCCAAAACAATCCGAATCGCCCTCACCCGTGGCTTTTCGTATCAGACTTGGGGTTGTCTCAACACACACACACACACAAACCAAAAACAACACGTTGGGTGGTTTCTTGGGGCATTCCGTTGCCAAAACCTCCCTAGAAGGGCCACACCCGATGAAAGCTATCAGTTTCTGAGCCAAGGGCTTGGAAGTTGCAAGTAGGCAACAAAACTCCAGGCGTCTATTCAAGAATCGCATGATCATTGTTGATGGCCCCGAAACATATGCCGCAACCATAAATGGAGCGTCCTGTTGCTTCACGCTAATGATTTGTTGCCATTGCGTGTTGTTTTGGCTATTTTGCACGCCTCGAAATTGCGAAACTTTTGTTGTCATGTCCCTGGCCCAGATAATGCAGAAGCATAGTCTTGTTTGGCCTGTTCAGGAAACGACAAACTGTCATGTTCAGTCTTATTCCTGTCCTGAATATCACCACCCAGCACGTTGTCATTTCGCCCGGAATGTTTACAAGCATATGGTGCAAATGGCAACTTCCGAACAGTTCGTCACCTTCGGTCAAACGGATACCCGAGGCGGCGGCTTCTTGTTGCAGAACCAGCACTTCGTCTTGTCCTCGACTGGCTCCCGCGAAGTTGCGTTTCGAAGGGCAACTAAGCCTTGATGGATCCAGATCAAGGCAGGCCAGCTGGAAATTCAGAAGAACAAGGAAAACCACTGGACTAAATTTCAGCCTCGCTCAACAATGATATGAGTGTGTGTGTGTGTGTGGAAACTACCCTTTGTTCAGGATGTTTGGAACCGCGCGCGAGATGTGTTGTTTACTTTAGGGTCAAATACTTTAGGAGCCAATTCTTGTTGTTCAGGTGTTTTGGGTTCGAGTGTCGTGGCAATGCCATTGGCCCATTGAACCCGTGGCCTGAACGCCCGTCAGACTTGTCTCCGTTGCAACTCTTTGGAAGGTGGCGGATCTCTTTTGGCAGCGAAAAATTGCTCAGTTGTTGGTCTCATGGCAATAACTGCCGTGGAGCGAAGTACAGTTTTGGCACAGGTCTAACTTCGCACCACATGGTGTTTAATTGCGAATGAACATGCAAAGCACCGCAGAAAAAAACGAGGAACAGTGTGAGATATGCCGCTTTTTCCGCTGGAAAAAGACGAGAAAGGCGAAAAAGACGGACCCGCGATGGCACGTGTCACCTAGGACCAGCCAAGCCTCTTCAAGCACCCCGGTGGCCCTCTTTCCATTAGCGGCCTGCGGGCCCAAAGGACCGGAGAGCACCCCGCATTGCAGCGGGGCTTGACGTGTTTGGTGATAAGTTCATGCTGAGGTGCAAATGAGTGGTAATGTTTGAGTTGGGTGAGTGAGAAAAGGAGGAAGCCGCGCGAGGACGAGGAGGAGGAGAAGAAGGAGGAGGAGAAGAAGGAGAGAGCGGCGCGGACGGCGACATTAAAAGCAAGAAGCCCACACAAGAAAAGGATGTGTAAGTCAGTGTGTGTGTGTAAGTTGTTGAGTGGTTGAGTGAGTGAGAGCAAGGAGCAGGAGGAAGGAGGAAGGACGAAGGAGGAAGGAGGAAGGAGGACGGAGGGAGGAAGGAGGACGGAGGAAGGAGGAAGGAGGAAGGAGGGCGAAGGAGAGCAGCGCGGACGACGACATTCAAAGTAAGAACCCCGCACAAGACAGTGGGGAAAACTTAGGCGGCAGCTAAAAGGCTGGGAAGCCCAGCGTCATGACAGGGGTTCCAAACAAAAGCGCGCTATTGGACTTCCGGACCTTGTTGAGAAAGGATGGAACCCCGGACAAGCTGGGCAGTTGGACTATCCCATGCGGGCCTCACCCAAAGTGATAGGGAAGCTTGTCCTGCCGGAAGCTACACTTTTCCTTTGGGGGTTGGAGCCTGTGCCCAGTCCTTCTGCTCCTCTTTTGGCACCGTTTCCTCATCTGCCTCAATGAAATGCACTGGAGGAAACGTTAGACCCCAGTGGAAGAGGGAATATATTTTCTGGCAAGGAACTAATACGAGAGACTGAATAAGGATACAATCCCGTTCTAACATAACATGTGGTGAACACTCGAGGCCACTGACAACATCCAGGCCAGGAACAAGGGACAACAACTTCCTTTCGACCCTTGTTATTTTCAACAGAAACCAGTCCTTCTCCCCGGATGTTTGGCGATTTTCCGGAAAACCACAGGCCGCCGAAAAAGGCATTGTTCAAAGTTCCCCTCTGAAGTAAGACCACTTCTCGCTCAATTGCCACCCGAACTGCCCATTGAAGATACAAGCTAGCGGAATCCCTGAGAGGGGTCAAAGATGGGGGGGGTGCCAAGGCTCCCTACAAGGAACCCACAACACCATAAGACCCCTAAGGCTCTTAACTACCCACCCTTCCTTTGTACCTACTCCCCTGACTGCGGATGGTGGCGAAATCCATTTCGCACCGCTTGAAACCATGGTTGACACTAGAATTTGTTGGTCTTCACGTTGGGGAATCGAATCATTCCGTTGGGTTTCTGAACGGTGGTGCGAAAAGCGGATTTCGCAACCAGCCGCAGGGGGTTGTCACCTCTTGGCAGAACCCTACGCAACCCTTAAACTCCATGGAAAGGGTCCCATGACTTTGGCACGACTTTGTCGTACCTGACGTTACCAGGCCATCGTTTAAGCCACCCGGCCGACTACCAGCGGACTCCCACCGCCGCGCGTGCCATCCGCGCCCGCCTCGGCGTCGCCCTCCTCCGGCTTCGCCTCCGCCTCGGCCTCCGCCCTGGCCGGAGTTGGGTGCGACGCGTCCGACCCGCTCAAAGGAAAAACGAGGCTGTGTGATCTTGTGGTCCAATTTGTTTTTCCCCCAGCTACTTGTGCCATCTTGTGCCATGTGTTTGGCTGTGCTTTTTTCCAGGTACTTGTGCAACCAAATTGGGGCCTTCAAGGGATTGGTGAGTTCCCATGCTTTTCGGGAGAAACCAACCCGAGATTACGCTTCGCCTGAAACAAAGAAACGCCTGTTTGAAGAGGTGAAACCGGTCAGTAAGCCCGCCCCCTTAACCAACTGTCACGACACCCAAGGAACCAGCGACATCGACAAATCCGCCGGCGTTGCTTCTCCTTCTTCGCCTTCGCCTCTTCTTCCTCAATACAGAGAGAGCGGGCACCGTGAAGAGGACAAGCCGCTTGAAGATCAAGGGCCCAATCTTGAGCCACGAGGAAGATTGTGCTGATGAACAAACAAAACCTTTGAACACAAACTGGACATTGGGAGAAAGACCATCAAAAGCAATGCCAGTGGCCAAAAATAATGAACACAAAGGTGTCCTGAGTTCTGCCAATGGTGAGAAATGTTGCCGAGAAAGGTAAAACATAGAAACACAAAGAATCAGCAAGAAAACAAGACTCCGCTGGCCCACAAAGGAAGATGCAATGTATCCATCAGTGCAATACAGGGTCGGGCTACACAGACTTAAACAAAATGTCGCCCCGTTTCGAAGCGTGAGAAGGAGCCCTTTGAGCAGAGCGACCCGAGGTTCACAACATTGAAGCTAAAGGCCCGGATCACCCCGCCTCCTTCTTCTGCTTCTCCGAGTAGCACTTCGAGCCTAGGTCTCAGTTGGCATCTTTTGGTGCCGAAATGAGAATTGGAGTGTGGAATTGGTACTCAAAACCAAATTTCCTCATGCATGCAACAGTGTGAGAAAGGCAAGCTGTTACGATGACCCCTGATCCACAGAAGGCCTTTTTCGAGGAGAGGCGAAGGCAAGACAAGGGCGGCTTGGCCCTTGGATCGGAGGAATCTCCCGCACCGACGGCGCGCGCATCGCGGAGCGAGGTATCGAGGCTCCCGGCAGTAGCCCTCGGTGCGCGCCGTGCCGCAGAAGCCGCAGCCGCCCTTGCAGGGCACGGGCACCGCCTTGGATCCAGCCAGGTGCCAAGATAAACTGATCTTCGCACGGTTTAAGCAGCTAGGAATCACGGCGACCAGTGGCACAGGGCTTTAAAACCAACTTACCCCTTGGGCACAAGCCTCTTTTTCTTGGAGCTGCTACCTTTTGTTTGTGTGTGTGCTTTTTGAAGGCAAACCGAAGGAACTTTTTTGGGGGGTTCCTCACAGGTGCCTTGTTCCCTTGCCAAACGGAGGGAATCCACCCTTTGGCAAGGGAAACTTTTGAGGGGCCAAAGGGTCCGTTCCTTTCTTTGCATGGAAACAGCATCTTAAGAGGGGTGAAGGTCCCAACCCTCAACGGAAGAGCAGTCGGCCACTCGGGGTTGAATCACGGCGCATGGCCTCTGAAAATCAACAGAAAGGGACCCTGTGAGCGTTGGGTTTTTGCACACACCTAATTTTGCTGCATTCTGGCCAAAACCGAGGAAAAAAAAGGATTCTGGGACAATGTGCTGGGCTGGTATCATGCAAACAGTTCTCCACCTTACCCCCCCCTTGCAGATGTCAGGCTCCTGTCCAAAACCGAAAAAGACATCGAGAAATCGAAAGATTCTGGGACAATGTGCCGGTATCATGCAAACAGTTCTCCACCTTACCCCCCTTGCAGATGTCAGGCTCCTGTCCCAAAACCGAAAAAAACATTGAGAAATCGAAAGATTTTGTCCAAAACCAAAAAAAACCTCGAGAAATCGAAAAAAACCAAAAAAACCAAAGATTCTGGGACAATGTTCTGGTATCATGTAAACATTCTGTTGGCCAGATTGGTTTTTTTGGTTTTTTTCGATTTCTCGAGGTTTCTTTCGGTTTTGGACAAAATCTTTCGATTTCTCGATGTTTTTTTTGATTTTGGATGGTTTCTTTCGAATTCTCAATGTTTTTTTGATTTTGGACACCTTCTTTTGATTTCTCGATGTTTCTAAGGCTGCCTGCAGCAAAAGCTTCAACACAGGACAGCTTTGCAAGAAAGAGCTTAGAAGGTTTTCAAACACCAAACAACAAGAAAACCAAAGGTGTGGCCAGCCCGACAACACAGCTTCAGGTGACAGCAAGCCCGACAGAGTCCTTAGCTTCCAGCCAGCTTGCGCCCAGCCCCAGCCCAGCTAGCTTAGAGAAGAAACAGTTCAGCGTAAAGAAGTTTTTTGGAACACCAGAGCAGCAAGCCAAGGAGATAGAGCCTGTGCTATCTAACAGGGTAGTTCCATACCAGAGGCAGCAGCAGAGCAAGCTGCAGAAAGAAGCTGCACTAGTGATGTCAGCTTACCTCCAGAAGCTAGCAGAGCTGGAGAAAGAAGACCCAGAAGAAGCTGTAACAGGCAGACAAGGTGGCAGGCCTCCAGTTCTGGAAGAGCGTAGAGGAACTGCAGGTGGGCAGTTAAGCAACAGGAAGAAGGAGACAGATCCTTCCAGGAAGCAAGAGCTTTTTGCCTTTCAGAAGATGAAGCTTAGTGAAGAGATTCAAATGATTCTGGAAGAGTCTCAGCCTCAGAAGCAGAAGCTTGGGCAGTTTGCAAGGAGAAAGTTCAAGATGAGCACACAGAGGCTGGAAGATTGCAGAAGAGGTTTGCCAGAGCAGCTAGTGGAGGGAGAAAGAGAGAGTTTAGCAGAGAGACCTCTCAACTTGGCAAGTGGTTGCAGAAAGAAAGGAGTTATAGCCACAACGTTTCAATCAATGAGCTGCTGAAAGAGTTCTTTGCCCTTCTGGTTGCAAGGGCAGAGAGATGCATGGTCAGGGCAGAGCTTTGCAGAAATGAGATGCAAAGGAAAGCTTGGCTGAAAGAAGCTGACTGCGCCCTACAGAGAAAGACCAAGCTCCAGCAGAGCTCAAAGTATGCAGCTTCTTATGTAGAGAAGCTGATCCAATGGCTAGGTGCAGCTTACTTGAACAAAGATCAGACTACTCGCCTGGCACCAGTTGAAGAACAGGCGCGGGCCCAGCCTTCCAGGATATTGACAGAAAGCTCTAGCATCTAGGTGCTTGCTCCAGTTGCTGAGATTGAAGATGCACATTTGGTTGCAGATGCAGAGATGATAGTTAAGAAACGATCCTGACTGGTAATCGGCACGAGTGATCAAGTCCCACTTTGGGCCAAAGATCCAAGCAAGAAGTTGGTCTTCTCTGCAGATGAGCTCAAAGGTGCCAGTTGGGACGACAGAAAGAGGTGGACTGAGATCAGGTAGGAGCTGAAAGCTGCTTAAGTTCAGGCAGCTGAAGAAGGTTACCAGCTTGTCAGTTGGGCAGATGTAGGAGCAGGGCCTCTCAAAGTTGCAGGTAATAAGGTAATGACAGGACAAAGTTCAGATGAAAAGTTTCGTTTAACATACGAAGCTTGCCAGAAGATTTACATCTACGATCTCCTTGAGATCCTCGTAGGTCATGTCTTCTGCTGCAAGTGCCATCTTAGCCCAGAGTGGAGGGTGGGACGACTCAGTGCAGGATGCAGATGGATGAGATGCTTTCTAGCTGGCCAAAGTTGCAGCGCAGATCGCGGTCAGAGGATATATACACACATAACTGCACACAACTCCCCAATTCGGAAAAACACTCGTTTCACATGGAAAATACCCACGCTGAGGGGGTCCCCCTCTCAAAATCAAACCAGGCAATTCAGAGATGGAATGCGAGTGCGTGTTGTGCCTACAAGTTGGACGAGCCCTTGCACAAATAATCCTGCAAAAGGTGCGAATCTAAAATGAGAACAGAAAAGCGGACGAAGTAGCAAGAACGCAATGGGTGCCATGTGCACAACATTTGGCGCTCGCAAACTGGCCGCTTTTAGACATCAAACTAGGGCAATAAACACTGCGCAAATCTCGCATAACGACACCAACACCTCCGCCCAACACTCCGTTTCATGACAGAGAGGAGCTGTGCTTCTAAAGAATCGCTTTCCGCCATCCAACCGCTCGGCCCCCTGCTGGCTCCTCCTCCTTTTTCTCCTCCTGGCAGCTCGAAATTTGTCTGCACAAATTACTGTAATTCGCCGATCATGAGGTATCACCTTTATGGCTCGTGAAATCGCTCGAATAGAAGGAATGGTTCAATACTGAGCCTCAAGTTGTTTGCAGCATCATCAAGTAACCACCCTAATTAACCGCGACATAAAGCACGAACCAAAACCACCATGCGGTAAGCTGGGCTCTTCAAGGAAGCTTGGAAGTCCAATCCAATTTTTACAGAAAAACCATGCGAAAAACAAATGTAAGGGACCCCTTTAAGTGACAAGGATCATGAAACCTCTCTGTAGGGAGCGGACCCATCTCTGCTTCACCAACCAAGCAAGCAAGCAGGCAAGCAAACAAACAAACAACGTTAACAACAACAACAACAACAACAACAACAACAACAACAACAACAACAACAACAACAACAACAACAACAACAACAACACAGCAACAGCAACAGCAACAGCAACAGCAACAGCAACAGCAACAGCAACAGCAACAGCAACAGCAACAGCAACAGCAACAGCAACAGCAACAGCAACAGCAACACAACAGCAAACAAACAAACAACAGCAACAGCAACACAACAGCAACAGCAAACAACAACAACAGCAACAAGCAACAAGCAACAGCAACAGCAACAGCAACAGCAACAGCAACAGCAACAGCAACAGCAACAGCAACAGCAACAGCAACAGCAACAGCAACAGCAACAGCAACAGCAACAGCAACAGCAACAACAACAACAACAACAACAACAACAACAACAACAACAACAACAACAACAACAACAACCACAACCACAACCACAACCACAACCACAACCACAACCACCACAACCACAACCGCAACCGCAATCGCAACCCCAACCACAACCACAACCACAACAACAACAACAACCGACGGACCCCTATGTAGGGGGGAGGGGGGACCCCCACATATACATTTAAGCTGCGACCACAATCCTACCGCACCCCCCCCAATATACATAAAAATCCGCTTTTGCTGGATTTTGCCCCAAACATCAGCAAGAGAGCAAAGCCAAGCAGGCCCATGGCAGACCCTGAAAAACTCCAGCTGCGCAAAAAGAAACGGCGCCCACACACAACAAGCAAATTAGGAGCCCTCCTGAAAGACGTCCCACTTCACGCAACTGATCAGCCCGACAAGTACGCCCTGAAAGAAACAAGCTTCGCAAAAAAACGGGGGCCACACACAAAAAGACAAATTACAAGCCCTACAAACAAGATCTCACTTCACGAAAAGCAGCAGGCCGACCCAGCCGGCCAGCGCTAGGGCCTGAAAAAAACACCACACAACAAGCAAATTAGACACCCTACGCAAAAAGTCAATTTAAGAAAGCAGCAGCCCGACCAAGCAGACTAGTAAACGGCGAAATAAATCTAACCGCGCCCCCAAAACACAATCAAGAAACAATCAAGTGGGTTAGTGACAAGCCCGAAACAAAAACAAACTGCAAAAACACAAAGCGCAGCGACACACAACAAACAAATTAGAGGCTCTACTTGCCAACAAACAGTTGACAAAAAACAGCTGCCCGAACAAGCAGACCAGTGACAGGACCTGAAAACAAGCCGCGCACAAAAAATCCAGAAGCCCCACTAAAAACATCCCACTTGACGAAGAGCAGCAGCCCCGACCAGGCAAACAACTAGCAGGCCCTGAAAAACAACTTCGCAAAAAAGGCAGCCACACACAACAAGCAAATTGGAAGCCCTACTAAAAGCATCACATTTCACGAAAAGCATCAGCCCGGGCCAGTGACACGCCCTAAACAAAAGCTAGCTGCAAAAACACGGCGGCAGCTACAAACAACAAGCAAATTAGAACCATTGAAGGGGCGACCGCCGAGGGGGCCATGGCCCGACCGGCGACGGGGTCGGGGCCCGACCGGCGACGGGCGGGGTCGGGGCCCGACCGCCGATGGGGTCGGGGCCCGACCGCCGACGGAGTTGGGGCCCGACCACAGGCCTTGAACAACATCAATCTGCACAAAAGAGAGGCAGCCACACACAAGCGAATTAGAAGCTCTACCTTGACGAAAAGCAGCAGCCCGACCAAGCAGCCCAGTGACAGCCCTGTAAAAAATCAAGCCGCGCAAAAAAGGGCGGCAGCCACACAACAAACCAGAAGCCCGGCGAAGACATCCAACTTGCAAAAAAAACAAGAGACCAGAAGAGCACGGGAGCAGGAGACAAAGGAACATGATTGAAACGTGTCTTGCTTTTTTGATGTCCTTTGTAGCCACCTGTGTAGGTTACATTTCAGCGCCCGGTCGCTAAGGAAACTGTGCGTGCTGTCGGGCCCCGACCCCGCCAGCAGTCGGGCCCGGACCCCGCCAGCAGTCGGGTCCCGACCCCGCCAGCCGACCTTTTCCTGAAGCAGGATGTTTTGAGTAGCACTTCAAATTTGCATGTTGTCTGTGTTACCGCCTTGCTTTGTCCAGCTGGATATTTGTCAGGGCCTGTCACTGGCCTACTGGTTGGGCTAATGATTTTCGTGAAGTTGGTTTTTTCTCCAACAGCTAAAAGCTTTGGGGTCTCAGGGTGGTCCCGGACGGCCCTGAGGTGAGGTTCCGGGTTCCATCAGGGTTGCACGAGGTTCTGCGAGGGGTGCGGGGTCGTGCGCGCACTAAAAAGAGCACCGCATGCTGTTGGGGATGTCACCTGGGCTTGTTTTTTTGGGTAGAGCGACTGTTTTGAATTTGTTCACCGTTTATTTTGGGCAGCTGGATTGTTTTCAGGGCCTGGCACTGGCCTACTTGTCTGGCTGATGATTCTTGTGAAGTGGGAGTTCTTAGCAGAGCTTCTAATTAGTTTTTTGTGTGGGGGTGCCGCCTTTTTTTTTTGCGTAGCTGGATTTTTGTCAGGGCCTGTCACTGGCCTACTTGTCGGGCTGATGATTTTCGTGAAGTTGGTTTTTATGTAAAGATTTTATTTTGTTCACCGTGTATTTTGTGCAGCTGGAATTTTTTCAAGGCCTGGCACTGGCCTACTGGTCTGGCTGATGATTCTCGTGAAGTGGGCTTTTTTAACTAGGGCTTCTAATTTGGTTGCTGTGTGTGGGTGCCAATTTGTTGTACAGTTTTTCCTGGGCCTGTCACTGGCTTGCTTGATCGGGCTGCATTTTTGTGATTTGGGCGTTCCGCAATAGAGTTTCTAATTTGTGTTTTGTCAGTGGCTGCCTTTTTTCGCGGCTAAAGCCATTGTTGCGTCAGGGGTCACTTGTTCTTACGCCGGCGGGCTTAAGAACAAGTAGGCACTTTGGCGAACAAGTGACCAGGTCACTTGTTCCGGTTGGCCCCCACTTGTTCTTATGCCCGCCGGGCGTAAGAACAAGTGACCCCTGAAAACGCTTGGGGCTGGGAACTAGCCAAGGCTTTTCCAGGACTCGTGGGAGCGGCGCAGTGGCAGCGTCTGATACCTACACCAAGCAGCGTATTCGCTCTGTCGAATTACTTAATTCGTCGCACGGACGCCCGTCATCTCGATCTACAGACGGCATCACTGGCATCGCCAGCATCACCAGCAATGACGTCTAGCTGATTCTCGCTCTGACAAATTAGCTAATTCGTCGCACGGACACCTGTCGCCTTCATCTACGGAGTGCGTCACCGGCATCGCCAGCATTACCAGCAATGAGCCCTAGGAAGCATTCGTTCAAAAGAGCAGTGGTGTTTAGTTTCCTAGCTCAAGCAAGCGCATCGTCGCAGCGCCATGCTGAAGGGCACGAGCTTTGCGCCGTAAGCGAGGCGCAACAGAACTCAGCTGGTCCCCTGTGATCACTTCCTGCTCCGGCCAAGGTTCAAGTCGATCCACACCACCCCGTGGCGATCGTGGGTTCTGAGATACATGGAGCCCTCACTAAGCATGCAAAATCCTGGCAAACAAGCTGGTTTACCCAGAGCAATCGGAGCAATGCGTTGCTATCCATGTCCCTGGGCTTTGTCCACGTGGTCCGCGCAAAGATCAGCGCCTGTTGAGCAGCAGAAGAGTCTCACAATCAAGGAATCGGACACCATCGCCTCCATCAAGCCCTGGCAGCACAAGATGGAGCAAGTGACAGCCCTTGACAAGCTTGCTCAGCTACATGCCCACTTCAACACTCCGTACGAGTTCTAGGACATGTTTTTGGCAA